CCATGTCCATCAGTGCAGGAGGGAACGTGTGTGCACCAGAGGGGCCTGTTGGGCTGCCGAAAGCACTGTGAGCTGCTGCCATGTCTCTGGGGGAAGGCGCCCAGGCACCCGCACACTGCAGGGGCTTGCACCCCTCTTCCCTCACCACCCCAGGGCAGGCCCACCTCAATACCAACTGCCCGCAGTCGAGCACACACTGTCTGGAAGGTCTAGGCATGGCTCGCTGGTGCTTTCGAGCTTGGCTGCACCCACTGTTGGGGCCCAGGCCCAGCAGGTGTGAGTGTTGACTGCCCCAGAGATACTCAGGGCCGAGCCCAGGCAGCACTTGTCACACAACTCTGGCTTGGGTCCTCAGGCACAACCCCACTGCACTAGTGTCCTTCTGGTTCCTCCTTGCCTCCTGCCCCACATGGTGGGTCTTGTTGGCACAGAGACCCCAAGTTTCAAGCATCTTTCTTCTACAAGGGAGTCCTCGGGCTATCACAACTGCTCCACCCAGAGCCATTAGAGGAGCTCATTGAAGTCATGCTGCTGCAGACACCAGCAGCAAGGGCTGTTAAAGACAGCCTCAGTTCTTACACGGAAAGCAGCACGGTTGAGCCCCCCCCCCCTGGGATTCCTGGTCGTGTGCTCTGCTTTCTGGACATGTGGATCTAAGCACTTAAATGGTTGCTGAAACTCATTTTCAGGCTTTCGGGGCTATGGAATCAACCTGCTTCTATGGGCCCTGTTGGACTCAGTGAGATCAGCGTTCTTTGGTATTTCCCAGCCTCTGTGTCTGCCTCTGCCGTTTGTTTGCAAAGACAGAGCAAAGCCAGGTGTGCCCCCAGCCCCAGGCTGACCAGGCTGGTGTCTTTGCAGGCCCTAGGCTGTCATCAGAGCCCTGGCACTGCAGGGAGGCACATCTCTGCAGAGAGCCTGGGTCACAGGTGGGCAGAAGGTGGGCTGGCCCTGGGCCCAGGCTCCCTGTCCTCTGATAACCTGGAGAACCACCAGGTCATGGTCTGGGCCAGGGCCAGTTCACTCACCTATTCAGAGCTTCCACCATAGCTGGAGGCTGGTCCTAGCTCTGCCCGTGGCTCCCTGCTAGGGAGGGGCCAGAGCACCACAGACCTGTGTTAGAATGAACCCTAAAGTCAGGGGGAGCGGACTGGCCTCCTGTGCTTCCCTGTGGGATCGGCAAGCTATGGGGTCTCAACGCCTCAGGCTCAGCCCCGCCTTAGCACATGCCCGCCTGGCAGATCAGGAGCTCCAGACCTCGGGTTTCTAGGCCAGCAGAAGCAGCCCTGTGTGTTCTCACCCAGCGGCCCAATTAGTGGCCTTGTTTCCAAAAGGAGCCCCTGTCTCCCGGGACACACAGCGAAGCGCGGTCATCAGCAGGGAACAGTTGCCGCTCCTCCCTGAAAGTCCTGCCCACGGGAACCACCAGGGTGGGTCTTGTGCGGGGCACGAACTCTGCACCTACCCGGGGCTGCTGGGTGGGATGGACACCAGTTCAGGCCTGTCTGGGCCTGGACGTGTTGGGGTCTTCCAAGTCTAGCCTCAGCAGGAAGCAGAGAAATAAGGGGTCCTTGGGTTCCCCATCTTACTGAGCATGAGGATCTCGCAGCCCTTTACGCCAGCGCAGAAGCCACTGCACCCACCCAGGTCAACACGGGACCCATTTCTGACCCCAAGGCTCCCCCACCACAGCAGGAGGCCCTGGAGTAGACATGCGGCCTCTGCCATCCCGGGCCCATCTACCCCACTACCACTGCCCTCCCCTCCTCCCCGCAACCCCCGTCTCCTCTGCCCACCCCACGCAGCACATGTCCATCTGCTGCTCTCCTGGACTCGGGCCTGGGCCAGACCCGCCCAGAACCAGGGCCTGCACTCACTCCAGAATGGTCCTAAGGGCCATCTCAGCAGTCCTAGTGGCCCCCACAAAGTCCTACCCTGTGTCCTGTCTCTTTGGGAACAGACAGTGTTGGACAGCACTCAAGCAACCTCAACTTACTTCAGTGGGTCCAACAGACCAGAACCAGGGGCCTTCAGGGCCCAATTGGGACAACCTCCACACACACACACCAGCTGGGAGGGCCTCACAGCAGTCCCTAGGGCTCCAGAGCTGCCCTGCCCCCGGCTATGTGGCACAGCCCAGGGTGTCCCCACCCAGGCCCTGGCTCAAAGCCACATTACCAGCCCAGCTGAGAAGGGAGCATCCTAGGACCTATAGGGAAACCCACTCCCCACCCCCCATGGCCATTGTGCTCTCTGGCACCCAAGGCAGAGCAGTGCTCCCAGTGACCCCTCTGCAGCAAGAAGCAACACAGCCTGTATGACAAAGACCTGCCCCAGTGTTGGTGCATGAGTCACCACAGCCAGGCCCAGGGGTCACATCCAGCCCCCACCATGCTGGGGGGAGGAGTGAGGGCAGCCATCTGGCTGCAAAGAGGCCTGGCACCCTTGGCTTTAGGCCGCCCCGCCCCCCAAATCCATCATAAAAATAATCCTTCCCTAACATGCCCCAGTTCTAGAAGAGCCTTCTGACCCAGCTGGGGCTATTGGGTGGGGTGCAGATGGCCCCATTCCGCTGAAGCACATGGAAGGGCCAGGAGCCCAGGAGGGTCGGGGCACTGCTCCTCCCACTGCCCCTGCAGGGCTTGGGCTGTCCCAGGCAGCTGGGCACTAGGGTCCCAGGAGCACCTCCCAGCCCCAGGAGGTGCAGCCGTTGCAGGGACTGGTTTGGGGAGCTTGGTCCTAGGCCCTCTGAGGCTCGGTTGCTGCTTGGGGGCCCCCTGCCCAGGATGCAGCCCGGCGCATGTGTCACCCAACAGCCTCGGGGGACAGCTCTCAGGGGTGGGAGGAGACATTGGCAAATGTGTCTGAAAACAGGGGCGTGGCCTCGGCCCTGTAAGTCCTGCCCTGGAGGGATGACTGCACCTGAGGAAGGACCCCTGGTCAGAGCCCCCAAGGCCACCCAGGTCCAGGCACTGAGCCAGGTGCACACCTCCTGGGGCAGCTCCCATGGTGGGCATGGTCTGGGGGCGCCTCAGGCCACCACTCCAGCCAGGGCTGACTATAGTGCGATGGCCCCTTCCTGCCCTCAAAGCTGTCTGTTCAAGTGTGGGCCACTGGCCTGAGAGTGGGGGAGGGGCTGGGCAGGGCAATTCCAGGGAGACCCAGGGCCCTGGCAAGAAGAGGCTCACTTCCAGGGACCCACAAGGTGCCCCCACCAGGGACTCTACTGAGTCACCTGTATCCAGTGGGCTGCGGGGGGCCAAGGGGTCCTGGCGCATTCCTGCTCCTTTCAATCGACCCAGGACACTGCAGGTTGGGGAAGGCCCTGACCAGAGGGCCCTCCTGGGCTGGAGACTGACACAGAACAGCCCCTGAGCCCCCACTGGGACCAGCCTGCCCCACACTGGCCCCTGGCTGCACGTCTGCGCCTGGGCAGACCCACAGATGCTGGCAGTGTGGGGGGAGGCCATCCCGAGTCAGCCCAGCCTAGAGGAGGAGGGTGGGGCGGTGCCAGGGCCCCAGGTGGTGAGAGTGGGCGGGGCACCCGCCAGGGCTCTGCCGACCTACTTGCTGCACATCACTTGGCGCTCGCTGTCTCC